GCCAGATGGCCCCCTTGTGACCCCCCCAAAAGGAAGACAGTCCTTTTGTGGTGCTACTTCTTTGTGGTTAAGGAAGACATTTGGCCTTTGGACTTCCCAGAGGCCATTTCATCATACCCATGAGACCAGTTATTGAAGTCATTGTACCATAAAACCAGTGGTAGGAAATTTTACACAAACCACTGGGTGCGGCAGAAGGAGAATCGCTCCCATGTCCTAAACGGAGCCGTGTTCCTTAGCTACTAGTCTCTCCATAGTAATAGTTAGAATAATCATCATTCAGTTCTAGAATTGTATAATTCACAAAGTGACTTCACATCTAGTCTTCTTTTGACTTCACATTTGAGCTATCAGTGGTTCCCATAGTAACCTATGAGATAGATGGTCACATGACAGTTCAAAGCTTTTTCCAGTCCAATTCTGTACTATACTGTTCTCAAATGTCTACTTGAGAACTCTGACTCAGCCGATAGCGAGGCCTACACATTATCTCTTCTGTTGGTAAACTCTCTCCTTTGCCTCAGCAAATGCTCCCCTTTCGGGTACCCATAATGGTTTGATAATACAGTACAATGTATTCATGGTATGACCTTTCAAAAGTAGTTTCTCTGAGTTTTTCTTTCTTCATCTCAAATACTTTTGTATCTTTCAGAGGAATTGCATAAAACCTAATTGACAAAGATTATATACAAATGTGATAACTTGGTATTAACAGTAGAAATATGAACACAGACTTCAGATTGAGTTACAATAGTTTTCTGTGAGTGTATTTAATCCTTGAGCACAGTTGTCCTGATATATTCATCTTTGTGTCCTAAACACTGAGCCTACGTCCTGATATGTAATATGTAAGATTGAATCATTATGAAATAGGCAGGCGAGATACTCTTATCATCATTTTGCAGTTTTGAAATCGAGGCTCAAAATGCTAAGTGATATAATGACTTAGTTATTACATCCTATCTGCCTTTCCCCAAGTTTACCAATAGAACTTCTGGAGACCTCTAAGGACTTGTACTCTGACTCTACCTAGTATGAAAGGTAGGGTTTCTCACAGTTTTATCTGGGACTACCTGGCTTAGACTGACTTCCGAAGATAACTGTTAAATATATAAAATCAAAACTCACAAATGTAAAACAAACAAACAAACAAAAAGACCAGACACATAAAATCAGAAGTGAAAGAGAGGATAGTACTACTAATTTTACTGAAATAAAAACTATTATAAGAGAATACTATGAGCAACTGATTCCAACTAACTGGATAACCTAAATGAAATGAACAAATTTCTAGAAACACACAACCTACCAATATCAAATCATGAAGAAGTAGAGGATTGAATCAATAATTAAAAAAAAAAAAAAAAACTAAAGAAAAGCACAGACCAGATGGCTTCACTAGTGAATTCTACCAAACATTTAAAGAGAAATTAATACCGGTTGTTCTCAAAACTCTTCCCAAAATTTGAAGAAGAGGGAACACCTCCTAGCATTTGATACCAAAGTCAGGAAGAAATATTGCATGAAAAGAAAACTATACCCCAGTATCCCTTATGGATATTGATATAAAATTCCTGAGCAAAATACTAGTGAACAGAATTCAACAGCTCAGTAAGAGGATTTTACATCATGACAAAGTGGGATTTATTCCTGGAATGCAAGGATGGTTCAACGTGTGAAAATCAATCAGTGTAATAGGCCACATTGACAGAGTGAAGGGGAAAAACATTTCATCTCCACTAATACAGAAAGAGCATTTGACAAAATTCAACACCCTTTTGGATAAAAACACTCAACAAACTATGAATAGAAGGAAAAATAATAAAAGTCTTATGTGAAAAGGTCAACATAATAAAGGTCTTATGTGAAAAGCCCACAGCCAGCATCATACTCAGTGGTAAAAACTGAATTCCTTTTCTTTAAGATCAGGAACATGAAAAATATACCTGGTTTCACTACTTCTGTTCAACATAGTACTGGATTATGCAGGACGTGCGAGTTGGAAAGGAAAAATTAAAATTACCTCTGCTTGCACATGGCATGATCATATATAGATCATGATAACACACATACACAACTATTAGAACTAATAAACAAATTTGGCAAAGCTGCAGGATACGAAATCAACACAAGATTTAGCTGTGTTTTAGTACACTGACAATGAACAATCTGAAAAGAAAACAATTTTATTTACAATAGCAGTAAAAAGCATAAAATACTTAGTAATAAACATAACCAAGGAATGAAAGGCTTGTACACTGAAAACTACAAAGCATTGCTGAAAGAAATTAAAGAAGACACAAATAAATGGAAATTCATCCTACGTTCATGGATTGGAAGACAATGTTGTTAAGATGTCAGTACTATCCAAATTATCTCCAGGTTCAGTGCAATCCCTATAAAAATCCCAACAATGGTTTTGTTTTTTTTTTTCAGAAATAGGAATATCCATCCTAAAATTCATATGGTATTTCAAGGGACCCTAAATAGCCGAAACAATCTTGGGGGGGGGGGAAAAAAAGAAAAAAAAGTTGGAGGTTTCACATTACCTGACTTGAAGACTTACTATAAAGTTACATTAATCAAGAAAGCATGGTGTTGGCATGGAAGAATAGACGTGTAAACCTATGGCATAGAATAGAGAGCCCAGAAATAAACCCGATGATTTTAGACAAGGTTGCGAAGACCATGCAGTAGGTAAAGAGTAGTCTTTTCAATAAATGGTACTGGGATAACTGGATAACCACATGCAAAAGAATGAAGTTGGACTCTTCCTTACATCATATATAAAAATGAACTAAAAATGGATCAAAGACCCAAACACAAGAGCTAAAATTATAATTAAAAAGAGCTAAAACTGTTGTTTTGTCTTAGACAAAAACATAGGGGAAAAGCTTTGTGACATTAGATTTCTCGATCATTTCTTGGATATGATACCAAAAACACAAGCAACAAAATAAAAATTAGAAAAATTAAACTATATCCAAATAAAAATATTGGTCCATTAAAAGACATTATCAACAGAGTGGAAAGGCCACCTATGAATGGAAGAAAATATCTACAAATCATATACCTGATAAGGAGTTAATAACCAGAATAGGTAAAGAACTACAACTCAACAACAACAAAATGCAACCCAATTAAAAGATGGGCCAAGGACTTAAGTTAACATTTCTCCAAAGAAGATATTCAAATGACCAAAAAGTATATGAAAAAGTGCTTGATATCACTAATCGTTAGGGAAATGTGCATTAAAACCACAGTGAGATACCACCTCACATCTATTAGGATAGCTATAAAAAAAATAACAAATGTCGCCAAGGATGTGGAGAAATGGAAAACTTTATGCACTGTTGGTGCGAATGTAAAACCATATAGCCACTGTAAAAAACAGTATGATGGTTCCTCAAAAAATTCAGATCAGAATGACCATATTATCAAGCAATCCCACTTCTGGGTATATATCCAAAAGAATTGAAAGCGGGACTTGAAGAAATGTTTGTACACCCATGTTCGTAACTAGCATTATTCACAATAGCCAAAAGATGGAAGCACCTCAAGCGTCTACCAACAGGTGAATGGGTAAAGCAAATGTGTTATATACATACAGTGGAATATTACGTAGCGTTAAAAAGGAAATGAATCCTGACACGTGCTACAACATTGATGAACATTATACCAAGTGAAATAAGCCAGTCACAAAAGGACAAATATCGCATGATTCCACTCACATGAGGTACCTAGAGCAATTTAATTCATGCAGACATGAAGTAGAGTGGTGATCACCAGGGCCTAGTGGGAGGCAGGAATGGGAGTTATTATTGAATGGGTGCAGAGGTTCAGTTTAGCAAGATGAACAAATTTCCAGAAATGGATGGTGGCGATGGTCACACATTGCGAACGTACTTAATGCTACCGAACTGTACACTTGAAAATGGTTAAGATGGTAAATTAGTGCAGAGGTTCAGTTTAGCAAGACGAACAAATTTCCAGAAATGAATGGTGGCGATGGTCGCACATTGCGAACGTACTTAATGCTACTTAAACTGTCCACTTGAAAATGGTTAAGATGGTAAATTTTATGTTACATATATTTGACCACAATTTAAAAATTTTTTTTAATTAAAAAAATGAGACAAAAAAGTATATACTGTATGATTCCATTTATTTAAGGTACAGAAATGAATCTCTGGTGACATGTCAGGATAGTGGTTACCCTTGGGACAGCAGAGTAACTGCAAAGGGGCATGGAGAGACTTTGGGGGTGCTGGTGATATTCTGTTTCTTGATGTGGATGTGTACAGTCTGTGGAAGTCTTTGAGCTGTTCCTTTGTGATTTGTACAGTTTTCTATATGAATGTTACACTTCAGAAAACATCCCCAAAATGTAACTGCTGATTTCCACAGCAGACTAAGAACCAGAATCGCTGCAGGTGGGGCCCGGGGCCCCTGCATTTAAAAAATTCCCCTTCCAGGTTTTCCTTAAAACCATCGGATTTTGGAAGTCTTTGCTAAAGGAAGAGAATTCGGTAAATATGCTTCTATTGCCCAAGAATTCTTCAGTTCTACCCTAGACATAAATAGTTTTTAGAAATAAAATTCTTGCTTTCCTTGAGTTATTTACCTGCTGTTAGGGGAATGAGCATCATTTTTCAGGTGCTGAGAGAGCACTAAGATCACTGATGTAGAAATGTATCATTTAACGTATTCATTTACACATCTTATTCTCATTTGTCCTACATACATGATAAGTTATTAGATATAGGAGAAATATTTATTAGAAGAGCTCGATATTTTATGGAGGCTGCCTTAAAAATGGCAGGTGCTAGGACCCAATGGAATTCAGGCCTCTTCAGTCGAGGTGGAACATCATGCCGTGGGGCGTGGTGCAGTATAAGCAGGTACAGAAAAGCCAGTTCTTCCACATGTCAGCTCCTCAGACTCCATTTCAGCTCTCTTCATCTGTCTCCAAGACTTTGGCCGCTTGTTGAACCGAAAGCATGTTTCTCGCAAAGGCTCTTTTGGAAGGAGCTGATCGAGGTCTAGGGGAAGCTCTTGGAGGCCTTCTTGGAGGAGGTGGTCAGAGGAGAGGAGGAGGTGGAGGGGGAAATATTGGAGGGATAGTTGGAGGACTCGTGAATCTTATCAGCGAGGCTGCAGCAGCTCAGTATACCCCAGAACCGCCTCCCACTCAGCAGCATTTCACCAACGTGGAGGCCAGTGAAAGTGAGGAAGTTAGGCGTTTTCGGCAACAATTTGCACAGCTGGCTGGACCGGACATGGAGGTGGGTGCCACTGTGCTAATGAACATTCTCAACAGAGTCCTTTCTAAGCACAAGGATCTGAAGACCGACGGCTTTAGCCTTGACACCTGCCGGAGCATTGTCTCTGTCATGGACAATGACACGAATGGGAAACTGGGCTTCGAAGAATTTAAGTATCTGTGGAACAACCTCAAGAAATGGCAGTGCGTTTACAGACAATACGACCGGGAGCGTTCCGGGTCTCTAAAAAGTTCTCAGCTGCGGGGGGCCCTGCAGACAGCAGGATTCCAGCTCAATGAACAGCTTCACCAAATGATCGTCCGCCGATATGCCGATGAGGATGGAAGTATGGATTTCAACAACTTCATCAGCTGCCTGGTCCGCCTAGATGCCATGTTTCGTGCCTTCAAATCTCTGGATAGAGATGCGGACGGCCTCATTCAAGTGTCTATCCAAGAGTGGCTGCAGCTGACCATGTATTCCTGAAGGGGACACCGAGGAGGCGGGACCCTCTCTGGGAGACCCTCTCTGGAGGGCAGCACCGTTGCAAGCTAAGCCACGCTGTCTGCATGGCAGCTGCCGCCCCGTTCAACAGCCGGCATTTCCTGGCGAGCCCTCACTACCCTGCGTGTGTCTGGACTTGCGCTGCTTTTTACTGCCTAATTAAAACGTATTTTTCATGAAGAATGTTCTGAGTGGTTTGTGTATCCGCTTTTTTGAGATACCGGATTTATGTGGACTTATATACATGATGGGGGTACAGAGTGAGCGCTAATAGGGTAGATTTGAAAGGTTGTCGCTTATTCGGTTAATGAGCAGGAAATTTGTTGTTGTTATGAGTGAAATTTTGAAAAAAAAATAAGCAAGCACTCAGGAGATACATTTTTCCCATTACAAAGATGAGGAGGAGGGATGTTCAAAATCTGTTTTTCTCTTAACTTTACATCTGGTCTTTCTATTATAGGAAAAAAAAAAAATGAAAAGCGTTTTCCTGGAAACATTTAACTGTATAGAAACGGATTCAGAAATGTGGAATTAAGCGATTTTATATAACAGCTGTATATTTTTTTTTTTATGGTGGAACAGCTGTCTTAAATTCTAGAATTCTTTGTTGTAAAATAAGCATGTAGCAATTTTCCTTTGATATGTTTGTGAGGGTTAAGGGCGTTGGGGAATTAAAGGGTGTACCCATAGTCCAGAATGCCTCTCGCTGCCTTAATGATCAAAATGGTCAATCTTACATGTACTTCATACAAAATCAGACATGCCCAGCTATGTCAGCCAGGGCTTGTCAGATCTTGCCCTGCCTTGGAGCAGGGAATATTTTTTTTGTCCTCCCTCTCTGAAAACTGCAGGCAGGAAAAAAATATAGAAAAACTTACACAAATCCTAACTGGTTATGTTGTGTTTAAAGCAATATAGGGATACGTAAATATATGTAAATATTACTGGCTCTTTATTGCAGTGGTTCTCAGCCCTGGCTGCAGACGTGGGTGGTCATGCCTTTCTGTGTTTGGCCTTTGGTTTGGTTTTATCATTTTGATTCAGGTGGTTACAGTGGGGCCAGCCGGATCCAGAATCCAGTGTGCGTAGATTCAGCTAGAGAGGCCACGTTTACAAGGGCTCGGTGCACCTCCTTCTCTGGTTTTTAACGCATTCTCTCTCTCTCTCCCCGGACATTTTGGAGAATCCTCCTGAGTTGGAAGATAAATTCTTCCTTCCTCCTTTGACTTATTTAGAGGAAAGTTCGAACTGTGGAAATGATGTGACTGGACTGTTAACAGCCCTCCGCTGCCTGGAGGACAGGCGAGATCCTCAGCGGCATTAGGGGAGGGTGGCCTCGTCACCATCCTATAATATTTATGAAACCACATGTATATAATTCTGCACTGAGCCAGGCACAGAGAGCACATCCCCTTTCCTCAAGGGACTTGTAATTTAAGCTTGGTCTGATGTGGCTGCTCAGACCAGGTGTGGTTCTAGAAGAACCAGGCTGCTGCCAGCAACCGCACATTAATATCAAGGTCCCTATTTTAGAATAAGCTTACTAATACGTTAGGCATGGGTGTAGGAACACAGCCTGGGAAGGGGGAAGCTGCCAAGATGCCTTTTAAGGTCTCAGAATATTAAGTTATAATTTCACCTTAGCACGTGATGATTGTGGAAAGGGCAATGTAGCCACACTTTTTTTTCTCTCGCTTCGTTTTAAATGTTTTATGAAAGTGAAGATAATTGTCTTACGCCACAGGTGGTATGAAGTATTTTTCTTGCTCTTCGAGTTAAGAGATTACCTGCTTCTATGATTCTCTTTCTGCATGTACAGGTAAAACATTCAGAAATTACCTACCGTTTTTCTTCTGTTCTCTTTAGAGAACAGAAAAATTTGTATATTTATACGAATTTTATATGAACGAATTTTGTATAAAATCTGTACAAAGAAAATCTCAGACACTAGAGTATATGAAAGAAAATTTAGTCCAAACTCTGAATTTTTCTAAGTAACCAAATCTTTGGCATCATATAGAAGAAGTAACTTAATTTCCTAGTTTTCATCCAATAGTTCATATTTTAAAGGCACATTTTCAAAATAAGAGGGAGTATTGACTTGATACATTTTTTTTTAATTTTATCGTTTCTACATGGAGGACTACCTCCCTCTAGCCTAAGATGATGGTCTTTGATTCATATAACTCCATGCCATTATTTTTATTTTTTTATTTTTATTGTTTTCCATGCCATCATTTTTAAACTTCTAACATTAAGCAATGTAGTAAATGTAGTCAGTTGAAAATGATATGCATTGATAAAATATTTAAATTGTATCCTCTACATTTTTAAAGTTCAAAACAGCCCATATCATTTTGGAAAACACCTTTATCTTGATATAATTCACTGGATTCTATAACCTATAACAGCGAGAAACAGTACTGTGTGTTTGACATTAATATATTATTTTAAATGCCACTTTTAGAATATTTTTTAAGTAGTAGTGCATGTGTTTTTAAAAGTTGATTTATATGGCCACCTCATTCAGAAATCTCATCAATAGAATTCTACAACTCACAGTGGGGCCTTAAAAATATTTTCAGATGTGCCTGTTGACCTTGAAATGCTTTTAGAATTACTTTTTACAAATGTTTCCTTCTAATGCTAAGTGGATCAAAACTATTTAATTCCTAAAAACTTGGTAATACAATTATGTACATGGGTGGAAATATGCTCTTAATAGGACTATTCAGCTAAGCAGAATACCTCTTCCCCAGCTCTCCTGGATAACTGAGATTTCAATGCACTTGAAGAATAATACTCCTTTGGATTTGTGGAGTTCTTCAGAGACTCAAAACCTTTTTCTGTTGGCTGCTGCGTAGTAGGTTCTGTTTTATGTCAGCGTTTTTAAATTATTTTGATGGCATTGACTACCTCTCATTTGTAGGGATGACATTGTATCAATGAAAACACAACAAAGAGAAAATGGTCCCTACCTTGGGAGTTTACCATTTCAAAATGTGTTCAAAACCATTTCCTTAAGTGTCGCCAGACTTAAAAAGTTGTAAAAAGCATCTGATTCTATAGGAATAAAAATCTTGAATAAATCCAGCCATGAAAAAACCTTGTGGATCTGACACCTCAGATCAGACATGTGAAAATCACCATGGATTCTTTCTGGAATTTAAAACGGGCCAGGTGTGAACAAGTGGCCTGGAACTTCCCGCTGGTCCTAGAAGCCAGCGTAGTGTGACTGTAGAGACAGAAAGGCACCGGGGTGCCATGAGCTCACAGTGACCTCGGCCCTCTTCTCTGGCTTCTTGTATGTTTATTTTCTCTGATTTCATTCATTCTCAGCTCTGGTGTTTATTAGGGAAGCCAGGGTTGTGAATTTTTCTCCCATTCGGTTCATCTAGCTTTGCTTTTCTGATCCTGCCAGGGAAGGGATGGGACCCACTGTCTAGAGTTTCAGCGAGGCTTAGTCATCCTTTTTTTTTTTTTTTGGCAGTGACTCAAGGCAGCTCCTTGGTTCCAGCTCAGGGCTGTCCTGGTCCAGATTAGGGCAGATTGTGGAGGGATTAGGCCTCCTTCCAGAAAGACGGTCTCCTCCTTAATAACATGGCCCTGAAATACCTTCAAGTCTAGATATTTTAAGATTCATAATTCTTTCTGAGGACTTTGATAGGTCTTTAAAAGAAAGAATCACAGATTAGAGGAATAATTTTTATCAAGGAACTGATTTGAAATTGAAAAATTAAAAGAGTGTATTTTGCTGTATACTCTTTGCTTATCTATTTTTGAATATATTTTATTAAGCTACTTGCTTTAATTGGAATGATTGAGAGTCGGATTACCTAAATTATAATATCATGTTTTATAACCACAGGTAAAAACTTCTGTTTTTTAATTAGTAAAAATGAAGAAGTTGATGATTTCTAATATTCTTTCCACTTCTAAGTTTAATTTTTCTGAATTTGGAAACTTAACAGTGCATTATTTTATTAATTCAATAATCAACCATCACAGAATAATTCCATGCTGGTTTATTCCCCCTCACATTACTGTGATGCAGACTCATGATTTTCGTGTGCTTGATTGTTGAGGGTCTGCTGCGAGATTGTCAGTCAAAACCATTCATATATAAGACTGTTCATGAAAATCAGGGGTCCAGAAGGTTACGTTGTTTTCTAAATAGTGATAATACTAACGGTCCCTTACATTTCTGTTATTCCATCTGAAAAACGAGTTATCATGCTTGACCTGTGTTATCCATAGGGTTCGGTAGTATAGATAAAAAATCAATGCCTCACAAAAAAGATACAACAGAAATTCAAAGGAGTGTTTCCAATCGTACAGTCTATGATTGTCAGTGCCCAGACATCATTCTTGTATCTGTTTTTCAGAATTTCTGTCCAAAAGTTCCATGTTGCTTCGTGGACAAAGCCAATTGCCTGAGAAATTTCCCTAAATTGAGTAACATATTCGTGATTCAGTAAGCTGCTCAGCCTCTAAGACTAAGGAATAACAGCCCTCCAGAGTGCTTACGAAAATTAAATGGTGGTGTCACAAGGAAATTATGTGTCTTACAACGCTACCTCCTCCGAAACTTCTGGGGTGATGAAAGTGTTGCAGATATTGATTGTGGTGGTTGTCACCCTGGCATATACATTTGCCCAAACACATCAAACTGTACACATAAAACGGATGGTTTTTGTTGAATGTAAATGACTCAAGAAAAGGAAGAAAACGGCTCTCTTATAGGTAACCAGACAAAAATGGAAGTCAGATGACCTGAGTTTTTGTCTCAGCAACAAACACTCCCCTTACCCCCGCCCTGCCCCACGTTACTTCAGGGAAATCTTGGAACCTCTTTGTTTCTACCATCTCCATGGGAAAATGAAGTTAATTGATTGCCGTTTTACGTTCTCGCCCTGCGGTGAGATAAATAGGATGGCAAAAGTGGTGCTTGACCTTTGAACTTGGTTGCTCCAAGACACTGATAAAAGCTATAAAAATTTCCCTAGAGAAACATGCATATAAAAAATGGACCCCATTCCCGGAACCCCAGTGAAGAATACTCGCCTTAGTGTCTTAAGTGAACACAAAGAAGTAGGTAAGGATTAATGAGAAAAAAGTCTATTTTAGCATTTACCTGTGTGTGCAAGGCAGTGAAAATACACTGCCAGGCGGAGAAAGAAACCCCCGCCCTGAAGGAGCCCTCGACGGTGGAATTGTACACACTTCGACAAAGATTACATTCTTATTGATGCCAAGCATTTATTAATCTACCGAGCACTGCACTAGCTCCGCTGCTGCTAGTTCATGCTTTGTCAGGAAATTCATCACTCGAAGGTTTTGCTGCCAATGTGATTCTCACACCTGGGATTATCGTCATCCCTTCTGTCTTTCCCCTCTCCATCTCTCTCTTCCACTCCCTTCTCCTCGTCTTCCTTTCCTTCTCTTTAATACTCTCTCCTATCTTTTCCGTCCTTCCTCCCTCTCTGCCTTGCCTCTCCTTTCTTCCTCTCTTCCTAAAACTCTCTCTCCTTTCTCCCCTTTCATCCTCTCAGTATTCCTATCTAGATAAGTAGTTGATTGATGTGTAGAGAAAACGGCATTCAGTCAGTCAGGGTTAGAATCATTAACCCTTTCTCTTCCATTGCCATCGTGGAATACCTCCCAAGATACTATCATACAGGTTCGGTTTAGTTTACAGAGGCTTCGAAGGTTTAGTTTACAGAGGGTCTTCTGGGGTCTGATATCCCCAAGGGGCCACCGAAGTTCTTGAGTTTGCTCACTTGCTGCTGGTTTATTATTGCACATTAAGCCTAGAAGGAAGAAAGAATGTAGCTGTGATTATTGCCTCGATTTGCTCTTTGCTTTTCCCTTCCATTCTCTACGTGTAGAGGCTTGCTTAGCGACCCATTGGTGCTGGTCATCATGGCAGGGCCACCATCAGTGGTGGAGTGAATGCTTCAGTGCCACCGAGGATGAAAGTCCCAAGTCCTGCCTCCCAGAGGGGCTCTCATCAAAGCTGAGCTCAAGAACCCACGCTGGGTACCGTAGCCGCTCTAATCGAGCCTCAGTGATAAAATGTTTATGTTTGTTGCTAAACAGAAATATAGTTTTCTTCCTTCTGCACTGGGAATGGATGGGCCATCTGCTTGCTGTTTTATGTCAGTGCAAATGTTTTTCCAAATAGGCTCAGCTCCCAGTGATGCTGAGCTGCGTGGCACACACGAATGTCACCTGGCGGGCTATGATTAATAGCAGTTCAAGTAGCGGCCCTGCTAATTGATTTCTCTCATCCCTTCACAGAATCACGATGGCAGCATCGACTTCCGAGAGTATGTGATTGGCCTGGCCGTCTTGTGCAACCCTGCCAACACAGAGGAGATCATCCAGGTGGCATTTAAGGTACTGTCAGCCCCACTGAAAGCATCTTGGTGTGCCTCTAAAACAAGTGTTGACTCTAAGTGTATTATTCGGACATCAGCGAATCCATTACATGAGTTTATAGATCTGCCGTGGCAGGTACACAAGGGTAATGTGATTATGACAATGGCCACTGAGAAGAAAGAAAACACAAACATCAGTTTAAGCAAAAAAAAAAAAAAAAAGTCTATGAAAGCGACCCAGTTAACAGCATCAAGGCCAAAGAACAGATGATTTAACAAATTAGCTTTAAAAATTATCTCTTTTCAGCCTCCCTATTTTGGAGCCCCAAAGTGCGGTTTATAAATAAACACCACCTGTCACTAGTCATCCTCATTCGAGTTCTGATCTGTCCTTGTTTTCTCACTATATGTCCGAGATGTTTTAGTGGTGTTTTCTTGATGGAGTTGATCTGGTCGCGGTAGGATCAGGTGAACTACGTCAAAAAAAAGTCCCAAGTTTCTACCCTTTGTGTTTTCCTGTAGTATCACATGTATTGTCACAGTTTTGTTGGGAGACATGAATAAAATCCATGTAGGATCAGGTGAACTACGTCAAAAAAAAAGTCCCAAGTTTCTACCCTTTGTGTTTTCCTGTAATATCACATGTATTGTCACAGTTTTGTTGGGAGACAGATGAATAAAATCCATGGCCCCGGTCCGTAGCAGAACTCGATGGAGATTTGAATTATGAACTCCGACCCCATGTATCACTCCTGTGAGCCGACAGAGAGGGAAGAGTACACGCCCAAAGTGTCTCGGTTCTTCTGAGAGGAAATGCATTTCCATGGGATGCTCCCTTCCGAATTTTTATCTCGTATGATCTGCTCTGCAGTGAAGCAAAAGCTCCATCTCCCTACGTGTCTTACCGAGCTGTGGATATTGATCTTATCATTCAGCCGCGTGGGGTCCCCTGGCTTCTGTTCCCCATGACAGCTGGGGACTTTCTCTATTTCTGTTACCGATTCTCATTTCTTCTTGGCTTCCTCTGAGAAGAATATGCCACCATGACCCCCCACAAGTTCTTTTTGCCCCCCTCTGTTATCTGGAAAGATCGTCTTTCTCCCAGAGTCCTTCCTCGCTTCTTGGAGTGCCCCAGGCATCGTCTCGGGAACGTTCACGTGTTCTGTCACTGACAGAGCAGTCCCCACGTTTACTTTTAATTTCAGATTCGTTTAGACCGAGTTAACTGCGCGGCCTGGAAAGAACCTAAGTGATGGTGCCCTGCAGATGACCAGAAGGCGGGGGCCAGAACATCTTCCCCAAAAGTTTGAAACTTTTGGCTTTTACAGACTTATTCATCACAAAACCTAAAATTATACCCGTAGCTAACTTATTCCAATCCAGATATTTCTGTTTCTGTTTTGGGATTGTATGTGTAATTATAAGTTTAGTTGGGCAAATGTTCGCTTTTGGTTTACCAATGAAAGACCTGATAGAAAAATTTGGCCCTTCATCACAGTAATTACTGTTATTAAAGAAGTCTTGAGATTTTTATCTAGCCTAGACCTTGGTTTGGGGGACGGGGGGAGGGAAGGAGGACCTAAAACTATAATTAGCTCTTTTTTTTTCAGTAAGACAAGAGTCATGCTTTATATTGGTTATTTTTTAACCTTCTCGGCTATGTTTGAAAACATGTTGGCATACTTTATATGTAGGGTCCATTCACATCCTTTTGTTTGGGGAGCATGTCACAGTTAACTTTCCATGTTTCATCTCATTTCATCATCACTGTGACTTTTAGAGGTAGAATATCACTCTGAGTTGTAGCAACAGGCGTGGTCTCTGGCTGAGGAACCAGTCGTAAAGATGGGGATTGGGGGGTTGGGCTCAGGGTTAAGGCAGACCAGGTGGCTCCAGAGGTCCCAGCTACAGGAACACCTGTACTCTCTTCCTTGGTCACTTGAGTGAGAATGAGCAAAGTCAACTCTCCATCTTCACGTGCCAGGGAAGGTCCAAATGGTTTGGGGCCGCACGCTTGCTCAGAAAACAGGGCGTTTCGATTAAGTGTCCCACAGCTTTCTATGCAATGGCAGGGCATTCACTCCTTCAGTGGAAACTGGGGTGCTACATTTTCTACCAGAGCCTGAGATTTACCTTAGATCTGGGAATTTCGTAGCAGGCAGACTACTGGGAGTGATGAGTAATCGAGGGAGGGTGAGGGTTTTTGTAAAGGGAGCGATCTGGTATACTTGTGACAAAGGACAGACAGACAGGAAATAAAAGTCCCCAGTATACACAAGTGAAGGGAATTTATACAGAAGTGAGAGCCACAAAAGCAATGATGAGACTTTAAATGATGAGTGGGCGAGAATCCCTTGGGAGTGGAAAGCCTTTGGGAAAAGCTTAGAGCTTGAGAGGAGGACGCGGGACCCAATCCCGGCAGTCGGGGTTCGGAGTCCCAGGCCCACAGAGAGTCCTGGGCTACAGTTTGGGAAACAAACGCTAATTGACTTTTCACTTTCCAACTGTCTTGGGCCTGTCGAGGGGCTTAGAGGTAGAAACTGGATCTAGGCCAGTGCTTCCTCACCTGCGGCAGCAGGTCACGACTTCATAGACTTTTCTCCTTATATTATATTTATACAACACTGTTCAGTACTCGATTGTTCATTTCATGATTTTCATGCCTTATCTCGTATCTGCTTTTTTGTTTGTTTTTGATCACGTACTTGGTCAGAAGTAGATACCTTAACAGCGGGAACTCTAGATATTGTCTGCCTGGATCTGGACCCCGGCTCTGCCCCTTACCAGTTGTGTGACCTTGGGAAAGTTACCTGACTTCCTTGTGCCTTGGCTTTCTCACCTGTAACATCGGGCCGATGATGGCACCTACCTTACATAAGGCGATCGTGAGGGTTAAATGACATAATTCAAGTGCAGTGATTTGAATACTTTTAATCAGTGCCTGCACAGAGTGAGTGCTCGTATCATTAAAAAATGTTAATACCCGGGAAAGGATCTTGAATATGGGATACTGATTATCCATCCGTTACCCTGTTCTGCCACTTTAAAGTCTTTCCATTCTGTCACTGCCGACCTCTAATTGATATGCAGGTCCCGTCTTCACTTGCCGGCCCCTCTTGTCCTTCCCGTTCCTCCACCCCAGACTCTTCACTGGTCTTCCTGCCTCCAGTCTTATCAACCTTCTGCCCCGAGTCCATCCTCCACACTCGGCCTCAGACAGCTCAGTCGGTTCACGTACGGTCACACCGCATCCCTCCCATCAGAACCCTCCAGGGTTACGTGAGGCATTGTGTGTCCATCACGGTCTTATTCCTGCTTGTCCTTCAGTCTCCCGACTGGAGCCCCAGGCAGCCATCTGCCAGTCTTTGTATATTCCGGGAATATCTCTTCAGGCTCTAAGACTCAACCCGAATGCTGGCTCCTCCGTCCAGCCTTCCCTGACTTCTCAGGTGGGGCTCATCTTGTGCTCCTCACAGGACTCCCGTGTCCTTTCGTGCTGACACAGCTGTCACAGCCCCTATTTTAAATCTGTCTCTTTAGACAACTGAACTCTAAGTGTCGTGAGGGCAGCAGAGACCATACTTTCTTCATGTACACGTCCCTAGCCCTGGCACAGTGGATGTTTGAATTATTAAAGCGTTGATTTTCCGAGACTCTTCCATGCCCCCGTCGCTCTGGGGGAGCTGGTCCTTACGTTTGATCTTCTTTTCCCTGCAGCTCTTCGACGTGGACGAGGATGGCTACATCTCAGAGGACGAGTTTTCCACCATTATGCAGGCGTCCCTTGGGGTGCCCGACCTCGATGTTTCCGGCCTCTTCAAGGAAATAGCCCAGGGGGATTCTGTGTCCTATGGTGAGTAGGCACTTTGGCTCCTGATTCAATTTCCAAGGAGAGGGGCAGACTACAGATGGATCGTCATACAGAGGTGTCTTTGCCCTCCACTCATTATATTAACAGTAGAACGAACAGTAAGAATGGTGATGATGGTAATCATAGTCGTAGTGGCGTGATGGTAGCGGCTAATTATCCAGGACTTACCATATGCTAAGTGCTCTTCTAAACATTTTTTATATAGTAATTCATTTATTCTTTACAGCCAGCCTGTTTAATCAGTACTCAGCGTTATCCTTATTTTACTGAGATACAAAGAATTTAAGTAACTTACCTGAGATCATCCAGCCAGACGATGTCAGAGCCAGGGTTCCCGCACCATCAGCACCTGAGATCTCGCAGGTCTTCTGCCCCTACTTCTGCCACCGTGGCCATGTAAAACCGAGCAAGTTAACCCACCCGGGTCGTAAGCGCAGTAGAGGGATACGGGCAGAGGCACCGACAAGAACAGGTGTAGCTAACCCAGCTGTTGACGTTTACTGTTAGCAACTTAAGTGAGCTTTCATGGTCAGTATCTCCTGTCATGTGGATGGCACCCCTGTGAGGGAGGGACTCTCGAGAGGACGACCTTATGGCCAAGTGGCAGGTTCGTCCATCGGTGGCGGGCCTTCTCCCCAGCAGCTTGAGTCCACGCGTCAGAGCACGTCATGTAGTGCCGAAGGCCGATGCCTCGGGGTCCACGTGTTTCACAGTGCAGCTGTTGAGAAGCACCCCGCAACAGAGAGACCTGGGTGATGTTGCCCCACCCTAGCTTTGACTGGTCCCGGATGGCAGGTCACCCTGCCTTCCCCAGCCTTTCCCTGGGGCGGGAAGAGGGCCCCTCTGAATGTCTTTTTCCTTCTGGTGTTCAGAGTTTCAGCTTGTTCACTTTCATGGGATGGGGGAATTACATCCCTGACTTCTCTTACTCTCTATTTTTAATTACTGTCATTTGGACTGCCCTTTTTTCTATGTTAGGTAATTAAGTTCCTAGGGCAGTTATTCTATTGAGTTCGTTTAAGAAAGAGAAAGAGAGAAACAAACAGGAAGAGAGGAAGGGAGGAAGAGAGGGAGGAGAAGAAGGAGAAAGTATATACTGAGATAAAACTTATGACTCATAATTCCCATGTGTTCTAATTTTCTGACCATTTTTCTTTTATAAGTGAGGCTCTCTATTACTCTGAACTACCAAATTAAAAAAAAAAAACTATTTGGAATAACTATATAAATGGAAGCTGATACTAAAAATTATTTGTAGGTAGTAATATTTTTGCCAGTTGATTTTAATAATTTTTTAGGGAAATCTGCTGTTTTTTAGAATTCAACCTTTTTCTTTTTAGAATACACAGAATATCTCCATTTTCCCACTATTATACAAGTCTACTTTTTTGTTTGTTTGTTTTTGGCAGGAATGTTTGAGGTATTTAGTATGATTTTATAAAAGAATAGGTACAGAAATATATCATGAATGTTGACCGGTTTAATTGTTTAAATGTAATGATTTAAATTGTTTTAAATGCTCTCAGCACTTCATCTCTAAATGAGTTACTCTTTAATGCCACCGACATCCCCAAAGAGGACAGAGAGACCTTAGTCTTCTGAACAGAGCACAGATCTTAAAGTTTTTGGTTTCAGTAGATGAATTCTCATGCCTCTTAGAAGTCACTTAAGTCCTCTGTGTCTCCCCATCACTGAAACAGACTCATGCAGATGGGGCTTTATTTGGGGTGTTAAGGAAGAACAATTCATAGCTTGCCTGATTTGGAAATACAAAGTGGTCTATTAATGCGAAATAATGTCGCAGTTGCAAAGAATGATTCCAGCTCAGTCTGGTGGCTTTCTCATCACCAAAACCTGTTTTTATCTTCAAGAGCTGTTAGGTAGTCTGATGTGTCATGATTCTTGGTGATCAGAGGATTTAAAAAAATAAATGGAAAGAAATAGGACATTGGGTTCGAATCATTTTATTATAGATCCAAATAACAAGCTGATTCAAAGCCCAGGCTCCCTATACAGGCTCTATAAGCTGAAGAACGTTTTCTCCACCCAAACAGAAGAGGATAAAGAAATTTTCAAAATCGAGGGTAGCATCGTCTTTCAGAAACTCCAGGGGTTAGGAGGCTTGAGGTTCAAACTCTGATGGTTAACTTAGTAAGCCTTTTATATCTCTCCCTCAGTCCCTAAATCTAAAACATCCGAGATAAAATGAGGCTTTAAGATTCATCCACATTGTGACAACACAGCCAATTGTTCATTTTCATTGCCGTATAGCATTGTGTTCCACAAATATGCCACGATTTATTTCTCCATTTCTACTGTTGACAAACGTGAGCTGTTTGCATTTTTTACCTATTACGAATAATGTTGCCATGAACATTCTCACCCATGTCTTCCAGAACACGATATGCACAAATTTCTCTGGAATAGAATTAATGAGTCACAGTGTACGCATGTCTTCAACTTGACTAGATCTTGGAAAAACTATCTTCCAAAGTGGTACACATTTATCAGGGTCGAGTAATAGAATTTTACAATCATTATATTATTAAAGTCATATGTCAATCTTTATCATGCCGAGAGAAGATCATCTCGACTTATTGGATTTTGTTCCCTCTCTTCTTCTAGAGGAATTTAAAAGTTTTGCCCTAAAGCATCCAGAATATGCTAAGATATTTACAGCGTATTTGGACCTTCAAGCGAGCCACGTGTTTTCATTGCCAGAGGAAGGCCAGACAGCTCCTGCAGTCGCAAGTAACAAAGTCAGTCCTGAAAGTCACGAAGAAAGTGCCTCAGGCAAAAAAGATGACTGAAAGCCTGTATTCCCAGTAAGGAAATGCACTGGCCTTTACTTGAAATTGTAAAGGCATTTATCGATAGTGTAAATATGATTATCGAGTAACGATGATGTTTGAAATGGAAAGCTTTTTTATAAAACAATGGTAGATTTTATTAAGATGCTTTTATTCACATGTGGATATCAAGTAATCTCTTCTGTTATATTGTGCTATACTGATTGGTTTACTGGTAAATAGACGTTTTTATGGATTTTCCAGTTTAATTTGATACTCAAATGAATAAAATGGTCTCGCTTATTTACTAATGAGCGTTAATCAACACTGTAGGGTTTCAAAGGTTTAAATACTTTAATCTACTTTCCTCTAAGGAAATAAACTAATATTCTGTTATCTCTAGTCCCTTTCCATTCTGGAAATAAGAATGAAGCATCTGAGGAACGCGGCAGAATTTCATACCTTTACCTTCACAGATTCATTTTTTTCCA